CCCCACCAGAATATCCCCTTGTCCCCTACCCCCCCCCCGCCAGCCCCTAGAGGGCACTCTAGGCTTGTGTACCAGTCTCTGCTACTCTTGTAAGTCGCAGTTTTTTCATTCTTGGCTGGTGTGACTCATACTCCGGAGCGACTTATAGTCCGGAAAATATGGTATATTTCTGACAGTGCAATGTGATTTACCTGGTGCGGGTGTGCACTGGACACTGGCCTGGAGCTTTGATTCTTCTATCTCCTGCTGGAACTCCTCCAGATCAGGATCGTCTAGGATGAATAATCGTGATCATAATTAGTGTTGTTTGATCAGAATCAAGATTTTTTTTTTTTTTTTTTGTACCGTATCACCCAGCCCTACCAAGAGGTCAGTGAGACGTGGAACTGCAGTAATACACACACACACACACACAACACTCACTGGCTGACCGGTGCACAGCTGGCTGTATTGAAAAGCCATTAAGGAGTATCAGGTCGCTGGATTAGCACTTTTATGAGTATAGGTCAGTTTAGTGATGGGAATTCCAGCTCGTTTAAAAGAACCGGACTCTTTAGGGTTGGCTCACCATTGGTCTGTTTATCATCCATCCATCCGTCCATCCATCCATCTATCTATCCATCTATCTATCACTGTTTTAAGTTTACATACTTAAAGGGCTTTTCCTAGACTGATGTTTAAATATTTTTAAAAAAATATATCTGTTTTAAGTTTACATACTTAAAGGGCTGTTCTAAGTAATGTTCTACTCTGCCTTCAGTCTCAGCTTCAATTCAAGTGGTAAACCATCTGATCCTGGTCCGACAAGTTAGTTGTTTGTGTGAATTAAAGTGGCTTAATATGGCATTTATTTCACAGGGACTATTATAGATATAGTAGAAGAAAATGTTGAACTACCTAAATCTGTAATACTGTATGTAAAGCTCAATTTTCCCTGTACTACTTTTGACCTAGAAAGTGAAGGTTTCGCCAGGGCAGGCATCTGTGTTCTTACAGTTTGAGTCTGCGTGAGCAGGGTACATGGCCACAGTTCTCCTTGGCAGCTCTTCATCATTGGTGCTTTGCTCAATGTCCCACTGGCTGGTTTTGTAGCTCTCACAGGGGTTGTAAACACAGCACTGGTAGGCATACGGCATCTCTATCACCCTGTATACAACAAACCGATCAGAGTTAAATCAGGAAAAAAAATATATACACAGAGAGTATACATCTCTTTGATATACGTACGCCATGTAACTCCCCAAAAACAGATTAAGTCGGTTTGTTTTTACCTCATGCGTGGAAAGTGGTCTGGGCTGAAGCTCTTGTATAAATCCTTGTTGCCTTTTAGTTTCAGGTGGGTCAGCCCACTTAGACCTGAGACAGGGACTGAGCTGAGACTGTTGTCACTGAGGTCACTGGGAGGAACACGGAAACAGAGAGAAATTAGAAGGCTGTTACAATAACAGATCGATAGATGGATAGATGGATAGAGAGATGGATGGATGGATAGGTGGATAGATGGATGGATAGATCGATAGATAGATAGATAGATGGATGGATAGAGGGATGGATAGATGGATGATAGATGGATGGATAGATGGATTGATAGATGGATAGATGGATGGATGGATGGATGGATGGATGGATAGATAGATGGATGGATAGATAGATGGGTGGATGGATAGATGGATGATAGATGGATAAATTAATGATAGATGGATAGATAGATAGATGGATGGATAGAGGGATGGATAGATGGATGATAGATGGATGGATGGATGGATGGATGGATGGATGGATGGATGGATGATAGATAGATGGATGGATGGATGATAGATGGATAAATTAATGATAGATGGATAGATAGATAGATGGGTGGATGGATAGATGGATGATAGATGGATGGATGGGTGGATAGATGGATGGATGGATGGTTGGTTGATGGATAGATGGATAGAGAGATGGATGGATGGATAGGTGGATAGATGGATGGATAGGTGGATAGATGGATGGATGGATGGATGATAGATGGATGGATAGAGGGATGGATAGATGGATGATAGATGGATGGATGGATGGATGGGTGGATAGATGGATGGATAGATAGATAGATGGGTGGATGGATAGATGGATTGATAGATGGATAGATGGCTGGATAGATGGATAGATGTATGGATGGATAGATGGATGATAGATGGATGGATAGATGGATGATAGATGGATAAATTAATGATAGATGGATAGATAGATAGATGGATGGATGGATGGATGGAGGGATAGATAGATAGATAGATGGATAGATGGCTGGATAGATGGATAGATGTATGGATGGATAGATGGATGATAGATGGATGGATGGATGGATGATAGATGGATGGATGGGTGGATAGATGGATGGATGGATGGATGGATGGATGGTTGGTTGATGGATAGATGGATGGATGGATGGAGGGATAGATAGATAGAGGGATGGATGGATAGAGGGATGGATAGATGGATGATAGATGGATAAATTAATGATAGATGGATAGATAGAAACCCTGAACAGTGGATGTTACGGGATATTAGTAACTAGTATTGGTATATACAGTAAGTGGATATTAATAATTAGTATTAGTAGGGTTTGATGTAGTAGCAGTAGTAGTAGTAGCAGCAGCAGGTAGTAGAGGATTATTGTTGTTGATAATTAATATTTGTTATACATATACAGTATACACATATATACACACAATACCCATATATGTGTATATATATCTATATATATACACATATACGTACATGCATATGTGTAAAAGAAAATACACATACATATACACGAGCATATACACAGGGTATAGAATATTACGGTAAAATAGAAATATAATAATATTAAATGGAATACGATGTTGTGTTTATTGCACTCGAGAGAGAAAGAGAGTGATTTAGAGATTTAAAAAAAGAGAGAGAATTGTTTTTCAAAGCAGGTGAGGGTCAACAAGGAGTTAACTCACAGTTTTGCAAGAGAATGGAGAGACAGAAAGGCATCGGGGTGAATCCACTCGATCTTGTTCCAGCTGAGGTCACTACAAAGACAAGAATGTCAACTTCTGTCCACTTCTCAGTGTGTGCCCAGCAGTCATTAGAGTCAGATCACATTTGACAAATACAAAATAAATGGCCTTACAGTGATCTGAGAGAGTTCAGCTGCTGAAAGGTACTGGACTCAATCCTCCTGATCTGGTTGTGCTGTAGACCACTGTTGATAAAGGCACACGGATACATTAAAGCTAAGTTTTCACAGGTGTCATTCTCTTGTTGTATGTTAAAGAGAGAGAACGAGAGAGAGAGAGAGAGAGCATGTATGTACGTAATAGGGATTTACATTTCCTGCAGAGAAGAACAGTGGTAAAAGCTTGGCAAATCCTCAATCTGGTTGTATGACAGCTCCCTGTAAAAAAAAAAAAAAAAAAAAAAAAAAACACACACACTCACTCGTAAACACAGTGACCAGCTGTGGGTTTACAGCGTGGGAAAATTTAAGGGTGACAGGATCTTTTGGGTGAGGAGCGGATTTTGCGAGGAAGGCGATACATCAGGACAATGATGGGGGTGTGTGGAAATGGGGGTGGGGGTGGTCCTGTGGTGCCGGTTGTGATAGAGTTTCATAGACAAGGTTGTGTAGCTGCGACGGCCCAGGGGCACAGCTCGTCCACAGATGGCGTTTGTGTGCATGACTGTGTCGTATGTACTCACAGCACTTTGAGACTAGGCAGCTGCTCGCACAGATCCATGGGGAGGTTAGAGAGACCCGCCCGGGTCAGAGTCCTGCAAAAAAAAAAAAAAAAATATAGTTTCAGATTATTGTTAAATGAAAGAATCAATAATTGTCTAATAGTACAGTAACTCCCCATCCCACTGTTGGTCTGACTTGGTCAAACCTGTCGGTAACAGACGTACCGTATTTTCAAGTCTGTAAGTCACACTTTTGTCCATCCTGGCTGGGTTTGCGACTTATACTTATGAGCGACTTGTATATTACAATATATAATTTTATATGTTTGTTATTTTTACACAAACAGCCGCTAGAGGGCACTCTAGGCTTGTGTACCAGTATCTGCTACTCCCGTACCAGTGAAAATGTACGTTTGTTAATTTCACACTGACAGCCACTAGAGGGCACTCTAGGCCTGTGTATCAGTATCTGCTACTCTTGTACCACTGAAAACTTACATTTGTTATTTTCACACTGACAGCCACTAGAGGGCACTCTAGGCTAGTGTACCAGTATCTGCTACTCCCGTACCAGTGAAAATGTACGTTTGTTAATTTCACACTGACAGCCGCTAGAGGGCACTCTAGGCTTGTGTACCAGTATCTGCTACTCCTGTACCACTGGAAATTCACGTTTGTTATTTAATTTCCATGTTCGTTATTTTCACACTGACAGTCACTAGAGGGCACTCTAGGCTTGTGTAACAGTATCTGCTACTCCCGTACCACTGAAAATGTACACGTTTGTTAATTTCACACCGACATATTTTTCATTTGGATATGGAAACGCTGGATATTTTCAATGTATTTTTCACTCCTGATCAGTACTGCACTACTGCTTCTTCACTTTTCACTTTGTGAATGAATGCCACGGTTTTACCCTCAATGTAAGTTACAGTAGATGAGAACGTTCTCCCAGTATACTCAGTATACTACAAACTGAACTGTCTGTGTTAAATATACGGTACCCGGGCCAAAACTGGCCCGCTTGATGAATTTTGAAAATTTGGAGAAAAAAAAAGCACACAAACACTTCACGTTCAGGAAATGTTTTGTAAAATTGTATTTCATTAAATATGAAGATGTATCTATTGTACTGTAAACAGACTTTTTGTTATTTATAGGTAATTATGTCATGATTGTACTGGTCCGGCCCACTTGACAACTAATTAGGATGTGTACAGCTTCTGAACCAAAATGAGTTTGACGTGAGCTTTGATATGAACCGTAACAGTCAGGAACGGGAACCAGTTTGGTTCTACAAATGTTGTCACTGCATTATAGTGTTTCTTGTTGTGTGCGTTGTTGTGTAGTTAAACGGCACACTCACAAAATTTCTAGGCTGGTTGTTCCCTTCAGATCCGGAAACTCTTTAATTTCAGTTGCTCCGTTGAGAGAACTGCAGACAAACGGAAAAAAACAAAAAGTCGTTACATAAACATACATACACCTGAGATTGTGTGATGAGTTTGTTAAATGTGTTGTTGAACTGTTCAAATTCAGGGGCCACATACAGCCTCTCTTTTTTTTCATGCAAAAAAAGTGGATTAGAAAATCGTCATATTTAATGAAATATCAGTTTACATAACATCATGAACATGAAGTGTTTGTGCTTTTTTTTTTTAAATGTATCAAGCAGGCCGGATTGAACCTCCTAGCAGGCCAGTTTTGGCCTACGGGCCATATGTTTGACCATCAAAATCCAACAGAGGCCTTTTCCCACTACCAGGTGTAATAAGTCATACATGATTTCAAACCAGTTGTAGTGGGACACAGAAAAAAAAAAAAAAAAAAAAAAAGAACAACTGATGATGTCATACTTACAGTGTGTGTAAGTTGGGTAAAAACTGGAAGGCGGATCTCCCTACAGACTGGATTGGGTTCTCATAGAAGTGACTGTACACAAAAGAGATGTTTTATTTATTGGTTGGATTAAGAGGTTATATAGAGAAATAATAAATGAAAAATAAATTAAAATATTGATTTAACCCCCCCTCTTAAAAACTACTGTAAAATCGGAAGACGTTTGCACTTGCTCTTGTAACGTCACCAAGGAGCAATACACTTGTAAGGGCCGGTTGTAAATAGAAGACTGTATAGATGTAACTACTGACTAATGTATTAATAAAAATAATAAATAGTATTAATAAATATTCTGCAACTAATTGGTATTTAGTCGAGTTCCAAATATTGTCCATTTCTGTGTAATTAAAAAAAAAATTCAGGTTTTTAAGGACCCTACAAAAAGACTAAGTGGGCCAAATTTGGCCCCCGGGCCTTGAGTTTGACCCGCGTGTCTTACATGGTTTGTAGTTCAGGATTTCCCACAAAGGCCTGCTCGGGAATGGCTTTGATATTGTTGTTGTGGAAACCACTGAAAATATAAGAACAGAGAGGATTTGTTTTGTGCATGTGGGATTTTTTTTTGTGTGTGTGTGTATGTGTGAATGTGTGTTGTTGTGTGTGTGAGCGGTCAATGACATTTCAATGTTGCACCTGCTGTTGCACAGCTGAAAAACATTTTTTTTTGGACATGCGAGATGTAAACACACGCTGTATGTGTGACACACATGCACCGTGCAGAACATCTGTTTGGTGTGTGTGCGTAAGTGCGCGTGTGAGTGTGTGTGTGTGTGTGTGTAGCGGCGTGGGTGTATATCCAGCACCTGCTCAGGGTGAAAAGAGATCGTATCCGAGTGCCACATTAAAATCACTTAACGGGATTAGGGAGGGATAACGCAACCATGATAGACATTTCAGGCAGGTGTGTCTCAGTGTGCTGCTGTCCGTCCGTGTGTTTGTCCACTCACAGTTCCTGGAGTTTGCTCAGTGTCTTGATGGCCACAGGAAACTCCTGCAGATTGTTGTAGTTTAAATCCCTGGGAGTGAAACAGGAGAGGATTAAAACGCACACGTTTAGAATGCAGTGACGGTTTCGTGACCGTCACACAACAGTGAGTGAGACGGCTCTGAAGTTTGAAACGCGTCGCTTTCAATAAACAACGCGCGTCCAGACACGTCTAGGCGTCTCCGTAAGCTTTGACATCGTTCATCGTTGTATACGTTGTGTCAGACATCAGGAAAATGGACTCGAAATCAGCTTCGTCTGTTGAAACTTTCCAGAAATGTTTTATCAGGAAGGAATTGATGACAGTGTGAGAAGTATTGGTTGTTTTTATTATCCAATATTCAAGGTACATTTTTTAAATGCTTTTTTTTGGTACGTGTGTGTGTGTGTATGTATGAGAGAGAGAGAGTGAGAAAAAAAGCTACAGTTGCTCAGTGAAAAGGTTAAAGATGTTACTCTAAACTTCGGCTCCCTTGATCGGAATATTCACATCACTTTCTTCTGAAACCCAGTGTCCAAACAGCCACAACAAAAGCAGCTTTGTACTAGTGTGGAAATTGTCTTGTTATGAATCTGTCTCTGGATTAGGATAAGGTGCCATTTGGGTGTGAAGTCACATATCGTCAGTAACAGAATTAACACCTTTAGGGACAAAGGTGAATGTCATCCCATGAATCATTGGTAAAAAGTTGTCCCTTCTATCTCAAGGAATTATTTCAATTTTTTTTTTCTACATTGTAATGCATCAACTGCATTTTCAATTGAAGCCACTAGATGGTGACAGATACAATTTACCTTTGCTAGAGTCTGGCCCATCTGTCTGTTTGGGCCCCACGGAAAACATTACCTTAATTTTTGAACAATGACTGGACCCTCAATAAAATGTGGTTTATCGTACGCTACTGCTATTCTTCTGTCACACTCATCTCCATCCATGCCACCCTGCACCCTTCTCTCCACCTCTTTTAAAGCGAAAGTGAACTCCTCGTCATCGAGACACAGCACATCACTGCACACAACCAAATGTGACCTCTGGTTTTAACCCATCACCAACGCTTTAAGCACCCAGGGAGAACCTGAAACCTTCCGGACCCAACTCCGCTAAAAAAAAAAAATAAAAAAAAATACATGGACATTTTCAACCTCCATATTTTGTTCCACGTCAGTTGTTATCCAATGACAGGTCTTATCTGGCTACATTAACATGCATTTAATTTTTTTTTTACTCAGTAACAGGTTCTTTTCCAATGTAGGAAAGTAAAGTAAAATACTTGAGCCAAAATGTAATTAAGTAAAAGTACCTATTCCTTAAAACAAGACAAATTACAAATGACTCACAAAAACTACGTGGACAGTCAAGTATGACAAGTATTCCTCATACTCTGATTCTGGGACAAGATGTTGCAAGGACGCTGGTTGTGCACAAAATGCGGACAACGGGAGGGTTAACTACCATGCGCTTTAACATTGAGAACAAGAATGTCAGACGGTGGAAACATTGTTTTCTTCATTCCTGAGTGAAATTTCTGTCTCAGAAGTTCCTCTGCTTAGCCAATACAATTCGGTAACGTAATACGTGGGGATACTTATTGCTTGACATGCCTGGTTTATTGAATCAATTGTTTTTAATTGCGTTCCAGCCTGCAGGCCAGGATACACCTGACCCTTGATACTCTGTGAAAGAAAACATTATATACGTCCATTTATTAAACATCCATTTACACTGAAACATATACCGAAAGTTAATTTAGTGTCCACATCTGACTGTTTTGGGAGTGTGGGATTAAAACTGAAGTACATGCAGTAAAATCCACGCACACATAAGGAGAGCAAGCTCCAAAGAGTGAGAGCTTTTTTTTTTTTTTTTTTTTTTGACCCACCGCTGACTGTTTTTATTCACTCCAGAGGGAACTGAATCATCCAAAAAGGAATCTAAGAATAACTGGCCTTTCTTTTGTTGTCTCGCAGCTTTATGAGAGGTGAGCAGTTTTCTCTGCGGATGTTGTGAAATGTTGGAGCGTCTGATATTTCCCCCTTGTTTTCCAGATGTCCTCTGGACGGCTTTTCATAATGATGATTTTATAACAGGCAACAGAGGTTGCAGCGATGTAGGGAGGAAGGAAAAAGAGGGAAGGGGGGGGAGTTAATTTTTTTTTTTTGTGCCGAAACGAATAGACTCTCCTTCTCAAGTGAGATCATAAAGATTAACCCCGTTGTTCCTTTTAAAAAACCTGACGCACACAGACGTCCCTCACACTTGTCTCCATGTCCCACTGTGATATTTCTCTCTACGACGATTAGAATGACATAAGAAACCGTTTGCCTTCATCTATTCAGATGATACTTTGTTTGTCTTTTATTCTAACGATCAGCAGGAGCATATTTTTGCACGCTAAGCAAGGGCTACAGTGGTTCTTTGAGAATATGTACGCTTTATGTCAAAGCTGAAAAATGCCAGTGTCACAAGCAATCTATCAGTTTCCTGAGTTATACAGTGGAGAAGGGACAACTTAGGGCTGACGATGATCAAAAATTTGGCCGCAGCAAATAAGTATCAAAGTTCAATTTTTGAATTGTCAAATTTGCTTTTTTTTACCCCTGTCTCGGTCAATTAGTAGTAGTTTCTTCTGGAGCTTTTTTCGTGTTCTGGGTCTGACTCTAGCTCGAACATGTACTGGGGGACTGTAGTTTGTAGTCTGGTGTCCTGACACTTTACCATACCTGCCAGAATGGCATACACTACCTTACTGCGCATGCGTGTAAAAGTAAGACAGTGTGCACAGTTACCGGCAGCCATCTTGCTCTCACTACTCAAATAGGTGGAGCACAGACACTTTTTTTCAGCACTTCAGCAGGTTGTTAAGTGTGCTGCAATAAACTATTTTTCCATCAGACCACCACCAACGATTCTGGAGCGCAGCGTTCGCTCTCTTTCGAATTCTTCTGGCTTTTCTCTCCACACCTCTCTCTCTCCCCCTGAGGTTTGTGGTTAGGTCCCTCGATTTATCCAGGTTACGGCACGTACGCTAACAAGTGAGGCAGCAGCAACCGTAGCAGCGGTGACATTTGACCTCGGTGATTACAAGACACGTAGAAAATGATGTTGTGTTACATCAAGGTGAAAAACTTTCCATCGCAACATTCTTGGCACTCACTCTGTGGTTGTGGTTTTTCAGAGACGCATTCAAGCACCTGCTAAAATCACCAACACATTAATCATTATGACTTATATTCCCTGCACACACTTGGTTCCCATGTATTAAAAAAAAAATCACATTCATTACAGATGTTTTATTGAGCCGCAAAGAAACAGCGCTGAAGTCATGACCCCGGGTTAAACGTGGGGTCATGAGGTAAGGCAGGCAGCACATTTTGCTGCTGGGCACCCTTTTTGCCGCCATTATTTAGAAATGACTAAATGTCTCTATAAATCATGTAATTTAGGGACACAAGGAATGTTCTCCCGTTCTGGCTCATCATCACTGTTTTGTTTCAACCTAACGGGTTGATATTGTGTTGACAAATAAGCCTAAACCCAATTATTATTTTCACTATGATTAACATTTTTATGAAAGTCTGATGTTCAGTGGCAAAGTACGGGCCTTGGGGGGCGGTGGAATGTTGATTAGTACTGCATAGGGCTGAAGTGTAAGAATCGGAAAAGAAGTGGCGGAAGGATTGACTCCACCTTGATTCAAATTGTTTGCAACAACAACAAAGTTGAATTTTCTTGTTACAATATGTAATAGTGTCAGAAGCATTCCAAAATACAAGTACACACCCGTTTCTTTGAGGATGTCTGTTATAATAATATGATCGTGTCTCTGGCGTTTATTTGTTTCTCAAAAAAAAAAAAAAAAAATTTTGTCGCATTAAAGTGGAAGGGGAAGGTTAAAATGCTATTTAAAAAGCGCCTACTTGTGTTGTTAGTGTTTGCGAACCAGATGATGTTGGACTTGTGTTCATACGGCAGTTCTTTTCTTTTTATACAATGAAATGACTTTTTCGTGATTTAATCCCAATTTATAACTTGTTTGTTTTCGGTGTTTTTCAAAGTAGAGCAAAAAAAAAGTGTCTTTAAAAAAGCAAAACAATATCACCCAAGATTATAGAAAATGGTCAAAACAACATGAAAGGGATGAAACTCGTGTAGATCTACTGACCACTAAAGGTTTAACTGAGCACTGGAGGTTCTTTAATAATAATAATCTCCGGGTTTAACCTTTGTGTGTGAGTGTGTGTGAGAGAGAGAGAGAGAGCCATACTTACAGTGTCTCAAGACTCTGTAGACCATCAAAGCATCTTGCTCCCATACTCTGGATTTTATTGTTATGGAGATGACTGAGGGGGGAAAAAAAAGACACATATTCATATATACATGTATGAAAATTAAAGTTAAGAACACCTATATTGTACTGTAATGAAAAAGTCATAGTAACACAGAGATGGTGAGTGAGGAAATAAACGAAACGTTAATAAGGAATTATTATCAACAAAGACTGCACATATATTCAGAAATACTGGTGTTGAAAAGGTCTAACATTTCCAGCAGTAAAATTCTTCAAACTTATCAATTCAACAAATACAAAAAGGATAGAGTAATAGGTGGGGACCATAAAAAAAATGTTATGTTTAAAATGTTAAAAAAATCATAGCTCCATTAACCCAAATGTTATCACTAACATGCTCAAAAAATCCCAGTCTGTTGCAGAAAAAACCTTTTGTAAGATACCGTCTGATTGGTCCAACCTGAATTGTAACGTTAACTTTAAAGCATGTTGACGTTTGGGTTCCTGCCTGTAAGAAGGGAGCAGATTTTCTTGAATCTTGGGTCTCGAATCTTGAGCAAAGACGGACGTTGTAGGTACGGTATGTGCCAACAGAGTGTAAACATGGTTCAGAATGTTATCACCTCAGGTGCAGTTACTGACTCGACTCGTCACTTTCCTCATATCGGCCGTTGTTGAAATCCCCAAGAACAATGAAAGCAGTTTCTGGTTGTAAGGTTTCTTGATATCGCTATAAACCGTTCCTTCAGCCCCTGAGTAGTTTCTGCTTGCTGGGGGATTGTAACAGTGTTGATAACAACCAATGTGAACTACTGGAAAAAAATGGTTGGCCATGGTTATTATTACTGTAGGCGCTCAAGGTCAGGAAGCCAGGCTGACAAAGTGGATTTAGCCAAGATGCCACCATGATGCAGAAACGACCTCCTTTAATTTTGCCTGACTACAGTCGGGTACTGGCACTGAATGTTGAAGCATGTTCTTGTAGATCAGTCTGAAACTGAGGTTATAAGTCTACGTTTGTAAAGAGAATGGCATTGTGGTGGTGCTGGGTAACACTCGACAACTGTTAGTTTACTAAGACAGGTGGGTCGCAAGGGATTTTTTTTGGGGGGGGTCGTCTCCGCATCATGTTTCCCAAGAGTTTACATATATGTCTACTGACTTGGGTGGCGAATGTTTGTGACTTTTAAAATATGGGTTCCCCTTGGGAAACATTGGTCTAGGCGACGCGGTGGCTAATAATATTCCACTGCTTCCTTGTTAATGAGCCTGTCCTTTCTCTTTGTGTTGCGTTGCTGCGAGAGGCCATTGCAAAAAAGACCCAAACCCCAAAGACATTGGTCTCCTCAACAGCTACAGTCGGCGCTGCCTCTTCCTGTAAAGAGCAGCAACATGACGGTCCATTGGATGCCACCGTGTCAAGGGCCCTTTTCTGACGACACCCTTGTTTAATTCTTATCACCAGCCTGCAGCTACTAAAGTTCTTGGAGGTCAATGATTTTGGCACTTGTACCACAACTATAGTATTCTACCTGGCTTTAGGCTCAAGTTGAGAATAAATTCCACAGTCCTGCACAGCTGGTCTGTGCAAGACTTAAGAAGCCTAGAGCTGAATTGAAGCAGACCGGCTGCTAGGCCTTGATCTTTTTTTTTTTTTTCATTCATTTCTCCTCAGACTCGAGCAAAAAAATCATGCCCAGGATGTTGTTGATGGTGGTGTGAAGCCGAGGTTTGTTAACTATCTGCCAGCTCAAACATTTTTTTTAATCCATGTTAGTGAGGCCTTCCTGTCTCCCTGCCCTTCTGCTGTGTCGCACCTGTGTCTCTGTTCATGAGTCTCACTTGTGTCACCCGGTGCCCTGGGTATATATACCTCTCTCTCTCTCTCACTAGGTCCTTGTTGGGTCATTGTGTTTGTGGTGTGTTCATGGTCATTGTGATTGTTCCCTTGTCCCTCACTAGGTCCTTGTTGGGTCATTGTGATTGTTCCCTTGGTCCTGCATTCTGGTCTGCTTTGCCGTTGTTCTTTGCCAGTTACTGGAAGTTAAAGTTCTTTTTCTCATTTCTCATTCATGACCTCCCCCCTATACCAGTATGGTTCTAGCTGCAAGACATGACCGGAGCACACAGTGTACTGCTCTGAGCTCCTCCTTGTCTTCAGACCTGTTCAGGATCATTCCATTTCCAGCACAACGTCCATCCCGTACAGTTTCCGAGATCCCCATCAGGATATTTATTTTACTGCAACAGATAGTTAGTCTGTGTATCTGTGCTCTATCGTTCTTGGGTGTGGTGTAATGAAATGATCCGTGACCTCGACGTTGAACTAGTCCAGAATTTAATAGTCTCTGTTGTTGCGTGTCACAGAGGTGTAGCGGTAGAGGTATATTCAAGAGTTTAAATAAGTGTCTGTTCTTCGTGTTTTTAGATTGAGGTGAGGTGATCACATTTTGTTTCTGCGATCAGACTGGAACTGGAACAAACATCCCGATATGCCTGGATAATCTCCAGCTTTTGGCTCATCCCTACCTTTTGCAGCTGCTTTCATTTTCTATAAAAGAAAATGAAAATAGCTGCAAAAATGGGAGTGTTTTGTATTTTTTCTTCTTCTTTTGCCTTTTGTCAAAACAACCAAGCTTTTACTCACAGAACGACAAGGGCAGACAGGTTGGTGAACGCGTAGTCCGGGATGTGTGTGATCTGGTTCAGCGCCAGTGTCATGGCCTGCAGTGAGGGCAGGGAGTCCAGTGCCATCACTGGGATATCAGCAAGGGAGTTGTCATCCAACCACAGGTGTCTGAGCGAGCGAACACCTCTGAAGGTCCCTGCAGGTATTTCTGACAATAGGTTGGCATCAAGGCGCCTGTAGGGAGATTTTTAAAAAGAGAAGGAATAATAGGAAGAATAATCTTTTTTTTTTTTTTTGTAAGTTGTGTTGCGCACATGCAGGCTGATGAATGGTGCCCTGAAGGCAGACATGACAAGCTTAGACCACTTCTTCCTGCTATTTTTCTTCCAACCTATAGCCCTTCACAAGTCTACATTAATCTCGGTTTTCTCCCTGCGGTGGCTCACTCCTTTTCCTTTTTGTTTCTGACATCTTCATTGAAACTCCTTTCCTTCCTCCTCCTCCTTCCTCATGAAACTCCTTTCCTTCCTCCTCCTCCTCCTTCCTCGCCATCTGCTCCTTTACCTCTTGTTCATTTTTCAAGCATTCTTCCTTATCACTCTCTCCACTGGTTGGCTTTGATTCTTGCTGCTTACTCATGTGTGCTGCACCCTCCCCCTTCCTAATCCTCTGCTTCGTTATCCTCCTCTGCCTCAGGTCTCAGGCAAGCTTCACCAAACAAACAGCATCACCAGAGTGAAATCTAAACTTGAACTTTGAACTCTGGGCAACTCTTTTTACCCTCAGGGAAAATCTTCCTTCAGATGAAGCAACTGTATACACTCGCAAATGCTCACATGCATACCTGCACAGACACACGCCTTCAAGATATTGTCATCTTTCCAGCTTCCTTAACATATCTTTTTATTCAGAACGGAATATCGTCTGGTGCATCCAATCTGCTGCTCGTGACCACTGTGAACCGCAATCATAACGGCTCCCCTGGGTGAACCTGCATGGTCTTCTGACGACCCAGGCAGAAGTAGGAAATTATCCAGAGAAGCCAATAAAGCAGAAACTATTTCCTGTCCTATAACATCAAAGTTGGAGATACGATTATGAGAGAGGGAGTCAAACAGAGGGGATAAAAGAAACAGATCTTGAACGATGCGGGGTCTGCTTTAATTCTCCAGATCTAGGTCCAAAGGTTTTTTTACACAACTCAGAAGTTTGTTCCAAGACATGACTTTCAATGAAAAAGAACCACTAGTGGTTTCTGGCCTTTCCTGACAAATGCAGTTCTGCTGACAACATTATGATTCGGACTAAAATCTAGATTTTTATGGTAATATCACAGTAAAAAATAGGCATTTCTTCTGTAGAAATAGAGCACAAGAGAAGAAATACAATAAAATACAAATTTCCCAGAATATCTGGTATTTAGTATTTCTATATGGGGGGGGGGGGGATGGCGGCTAGGTGGTTAAGGAAGCCGACTTGGGTCCGGAAAGCTTTGGTGATGGGTAAAATGTTCCTTTCAGATTGGGTCAGATTTCCATTGTCTACGTGTCGCAAGTAATTCACTTATCACATATTTAACTTTCACTTTTATTTTAATATTTGTATTATTCATTTTTTTTAACATTTAAAAGATTCTCTTTGTACATACGGTCTATTTTACCTTTACTGTCCATTTGTTTCTATAACACTTTCCCCCAGTGTTAGCTCCATAAAAAATAATTAAATATAAAAACAGACACCTATAATGTCAAATATTTGCATTTGTTGAGTCAAAAGTGTAACATTGAACAAAAAAAAAACAAACAAGTGAAGGCAATATGATTTTGATGATTGCCGATTAGAAAATATTTTAACACTTAACAACTTAACTGGTGGACTTGAATCGTTTATTATTTATTACCTTTTTTCCTGTTTTCATTGTGTTCAACTGAACTGTTTTCTGTCATGAAGATATGACTTACTTCAGCTTCAGTGTTTGGTGTGCGTGTGTGTGTGTGGTCTTTAGATTGAGATTTTTTAGTAATGACTCACAGAAGCACCTTGTCATTACGGTAATGATAATGATAATGATGTGCCTGGTGAAGAGAGTGACTACTGGAAGGGCTTTGGAGAATAAAGCTTGTTGGCGCCAAAGGACAATATTTATCACACGAGGTAGAGAGAGAATGAGGGAAAGCAGTACTGAGAGAGAGAGAGAGAGAGAGACAGTACCATACGGCAGTGGTTATCAAAATAGGGGCTGTGAGGGTGCATTAGGTGGTCCTCAGGAAATCGGAAGGAAGAAAAAAAAAATCTTTTTTTTTTTATTATTATTATATGTCCTAAATCGTACATGTATTCTGCTGTAATAGATGGATTGCCAAGTTCCGATGTGATTACAACAATATAATCTGTGTAGATCTAACAGTTTGTGCCTGTGACCAAGCCGCGTCGCCTCTTTTAGCTAGCTAGCGCAAATAAGTTTTATTTACCGTATTTTCTGGACTACGTCGGCAAACAAGAAGGGGCTCAGGGCCGATCCTTGATGTAGTCCCACCTCCACCTTGAAGTCACCTCACTACTGTTGTACTATTCTCATACATGTCCTGCACCAAACTAACATACTTCTCTGCCACTCCTGACTTCCTCATACAAAACCACAATTCCTCCCTTGGCACTTTGTCATATGCCTTTTCTAGATCTACAAATACACAATGCAGCTCCTTCTGACCTTCCCTGTACTTCTCCATCAACATCCTCAAGGCAAATATTGCATCTGTGGTACTCTTCCTAGGCATGAAACCATACTGTTGTTCACAAATCTCCACTTCCTGCCTCAACCTAGCTTCAACTACTCTTTCCTAAATCTTCATTGT